TATCATACAATATGAATTAATTCCCAAAATGAATTATTAATAACTAATAAACTAATTGACATTATTAATCAAAACATGTCACCAGAACACCTTTCGACCATGAAAAGAAAGGGTGAAAAGCCCTGAAAGACATTCACTAAGCCCTACATGTGAACGGGAGACCTTGAACGCTATAAATCTTAAATGAAATGGAGGAAGAGAACAGATTTAGGTCTTGAGCTTGTTCATGAGGAGTGAAGGACATAATCAAAGAGCAAGCTTTTATTACACATTCTCTATTATCAACACACACACATACACACACAGACACAGCAGCTGCTGAGAGGACAAATTACACTAGTTTATGTCCATTTTTCACCTTACAGAGTCAAAGCAGGAGCCAGATTTTAAAAAGTGGCATAATTCTGTGTCAATCCATCTGTTTACCCCACACGCTAATCTAAATTTCTCTCATTACATCCATTTGGCAGTAAAGCCACTATGCACCTGCCATGTCAAATATCAACACATTCATTCATGTCTATTTACGCTCATGTTTCATTCTAGTCCCGATCCCTCCATCCATCTACACACACAACAGTTCTGTGTGTCTGAGGTGAATATAACAATCTCTCTCTCTTTCTCTCCCCAACACATGTGCACATACACACACAAATACACACGAGCCAGATAATCACACTAAATTAACACAGCAGCGCTGAATCTGTGTGAGTGCTGCTGTACTGGTAGGGGGTGTATTGACCAGGTGCCGTCTCTCACAGATGTGTTGATTAAGGGCCTGTCTGAACACTTCGCCTACTTTTGCGCCATCATGTAGCCACCAACACCAGTGTTTTTGTATGAGAAAAAGAAAAAACGAGGTAGAAAGACAGTATAATAATGAAAAGATTTGCATTATCTGAAGGAAATACCTGTGCTTGCAAGGCAGCAAAATTATCATGTTAAAGTATTAAGTGAGGTTGGTTCAGTCTAAATGAAATGCTGCACCACAGCGGCTTTGATGCTGCGTGTGTCTTGTTTTCAACCGACTGCGCGCAAGAATCAACACAATCACTGTGCAGCGTCAGGCAGTGTTTCCCAACACTGTTCCTAGAGGCACACCAACACATTTTCAAGCTCTTTCGAATCAAACACACCTGATTTAACACATCAGCTCATTAATAGAGACTCGAAAACCCGATATGGGTGGGTCAAATAATGGAGACATTCAAAATGTATACTGCTGGTGTGCCTCCAGGAACAGGGAAACACTGGTGTAAAGGGCCGTTCACCCAAAGTGCATTTCTGCAGTCCACCTTTCCATTGTTTTTCTATGTAAACATTAACCTAGATGCCCATGTTTGACCATTGCACTGAAGTTTCACGTCTTTTGCAGTGTCCCATGCATGACACGGCATTCTCAATACGTGGTGCTTAAGTAAAAAGTTTTTTCATTGCATCTCACATTTTTGTGTAAATGCATGTTTTTGTGTAAACTGTGTAAATGCCCTTTAAATTTGGTTGTAAGTAAATAATTATGTGAAAGAAAGACAGAACCAATCACAATTCCATATGCAAATGTGTTTAAGAAAGAAGACCATTCAAAATCCACTACTCAAAATTACAACGCAGTCAGTTACATTTTGTTTGTCATTATGTCAGTGAGTATGTTTACATGCACAACAACATTTTTTTAAATTAAATTCATTATAAAAACTTGACAATACAAAAAAATAAAAATTAATGGGAATTTAAAACTTGAATTTTTTAACTGTTTATGTTTATAAACTGATACAAGAACACAGTTAAGGTTTACATACGGCTTATTAAGCACACAGTTGGTATAAAACTGCATGTAAATTGACAGATCTAAATTTCTTAAGGTTTACATTATAGTGCATGAAAGGTTGAGGGAATAGTTAGTGTTTTTGGTTGAATTATTTTTTAGCAGTTTTTGAATATTTGAGGAATATCAACTTGCAAGCACTTGTGAGTATCTTTAAACTTTGTATGTGACAGAGAGTTCAGTCTAAAATCTTCATCATCAGTTTGCAGAGCAGACTCAAGATGCGTAATGTCTTTCTGGTTGTATAAAGAAGACACAATGTGTGTGTGCTCGTAATGGTCACTGGGAGGAAAGAACTCTAGGGAATGTCTTACAGAGTGAAAAGCCGCGTCTTCCAGTAGTGCTAATGAGGGGAAGGGTGCCGTCAGTGTTAATACACTACAGAAGGTCAACCCACACAGATGCAAACACATTTCTGCTCTGCTGAAACTAACAGTACAACTAAAAGACCTGTGGGAGTACTGTCACTAAACGAACATCATGACGACATGGCATATCAATCAGAGCAAGAGAGGGTGGAAGAGTGTGTGTGTGTGTGAGAGAGAGAGAGAGAGAGAGTGAAATGCAGTAGAACATTCTGTATTGACATCTTCCTTATATCTATTGATTCCCCATTATGTTACTAACAAACCCAAGCTGACATTTTGTCATTGGCAATCATCTTAACACCAGGACTTGCCCTGATCTATAAAAACACTTTCTCTCACATTTGCTCACACAAAGCTACCAAAAATAAATATATAAATAGCTACAAAAATATATGGATTCCATTTTGGACACTGTCAGCTGTCATTATGACAATGAAACGATTATCTTTCAGTACTTTTAAAGTAATTTTATCCTAATCGATCAAATACATTTTTAGTTCTTCTTTCTCTCTGTTGAAATCAGTAAAAGCAGATAGGACAGATTTTCTTTGGTTCATAAGTCATGCAAAGCAGAATGTTGCTTAATGTTCACTTTTTTTTCTCTCTCAGTCAATATTCTCTCATTTTCCAGGACCTGCCTGTTACTGTAATGCACATAAAACTTTAATGGAGCCGTTAATGGCAATAATTCCCGAGACCACTTACAAGAATAGGTCTTGATTATCTCTATCTCTGCATCTGTCCATGTCTATAGCCGCTATCTAATGGGAATAGGGTGTAATAGCTGCATATATTAGTAACTGGATCATAGTTAATAGGTTCTGCTCTCTCTAATGGTGATTAAGAGGCTTTGATGAGATATGCATATTTCTGCTGGCCGTAATGGTATTTGACAGCATAAAATGAAGGACTTCTTCTTTCAGATTTTGCTGAGGTTTAGTTGACTGTGAAGAACAATTTACATAACAAAAGTTTGTCTAAAGCTTAGTCAAAATTATTTCAGTTTTGTGAAATTATTAATCAGATAGTTTTCAACATGCCATTCACCCACTTATGTGAAATAGGTGCCAAGTATGTAGATCTAAACAACAAAGTTTACAGCCTTGCTTATCATTCATACCTAATGAGCTAGACGACTGCGTCCATACAAGCTGTGCCTATAGAGCTCAAGATCACCTCTCACGCTCAAACTCGGTTTTCCATACTCGTTCCCATTTTTCACTGTCATCTGCACCTACTTTCCTTTAGTGGTCCACAGCTTTTTCTTTTTTCTGCCTTCTTTTTTTTATCTTCTTTTGACACTCGCTATTTTTCAGGGATAGGGGCATGAAACTCCTTCTCCTCTCATTTGGCCCTGTTAATCTCTGAGGAGAAGAGGCTCATTATCCTTCCCCTTTACAATCCTGCATCATTCTTCTGTCTCAAAGCCCAAGAAAACCTGTAAGACTCTGAATTATGCAAATTCTGAATTGGTAAAATCACACAGCTAGAGAACAATGCAATCCCACTAGGTAAAATGAGGTTGCAAAAAAAGTCTGAATAAACGCAACACTTTCCATTGCCACTTTACAACACTTTCTGAATGCATAAAAATGAACAAAAGTCATGTCTGAGGACCTTTTAAGCACCATCTTGGTTTTTATACCATAATATAGGCAAAGGGTCCCGTATGCAAATAACTAGTCCAAAATATATATATTTTTTCTTCTTTTTAGATTTTAGACTGAAATTCAACCAAATTTATAAGGGACACTGTATCTTGTTACAAATATTTGATGCAATCCCTCTGTTAATGTGCTCATTACAAGATACTTAAAGCATAATATTTTACACCAAATGGCATGTACATTTTCCAACATATAACCCATATAAGCTTTATATAAAATAATACAAAATAAACACTGCATAAATTATACAGAAAACAGTTTCTGTATTAAATTACTGAACAATTTCATTGTATTCTCAGATGTCACATACCCAGTAAACATAAGAGCAGCTTGCTTATGCAGTTATGCCTCCTCAATTCAGACTACACCCATCTCTTCCTACTCCACCCCCGCTTCCTTGTGTTTTCATCTTTATGTAGCCACCGAACAACCGGCAAGTTCCCGCAATGAAAACAATAACGAAAACAGTCGTCGTTTGCCTTTCGCCGTCTCTTACTACAAAAGACGAGGTGCAAATCACATCATACACATATATGTATGTGATCATCTATTCAAAGCGCTTATAGCCGATCACACGTGCAACTATCTACCTGACCATCACACTATACATCTGTATTTGTGAGCCAAACATAAGATGTTTAAATAGCACAAGTGCTCGTTTCTCTGTTCTCTGTAGCTGCTCTGATTCTCTCCCCTCGATCCGCCGGCCCCGGAATCGATCCTGCGGAGATCGATAAGTTGGCATGAATATTCCCAGCTCACCGCGAGTTTAGTTCGGGGGAGACGGAGGCAGAGGCAGAGGCGAGAGGAGGAGACGGACGGATGCGGAGCCCTGAAGAAACTAAGCCCAACGAGACGGGAATATATTTAGGAAACACCTTGACAAAACAAACCCGACCTGAGCTGCATTTTGAGGCGCGATAGCGCAGTGCTAGTTTTGCTATAGACAAACTTGACTCGCGTCGGTTGGACTAAACTGAAAGGTTGGAAAGGGCGGCAAGCGCGCGCGACACAAACAGAAAACGGCAAAATGAGGATGTTTCATTCACACGATGGATACGGGGATTAGGCCACTGAGCGCGGTCACTGGATTCGGTGTTAGAAGAAAGAAAGGGTGGTTGCTCTGGAAGAAAGCCTTACCGGAGTGAGAGCACAGAGCCAGCGGCGACTTGAGGCGCCAGGCGTGGAGATCAGAGGCAGTTCTCGGCAAGACAAACGGCACCGGCAAAGGAACAAACATGATCCGTCTTCTTGTCTGGTTCTTATCAGATGTTCTTTTTGCTGTTGATTTTTCTTTGCAATTTTAGCAGTTGTGGCAAGATGCTTTATCTCACTTTGGTTCCAGGCGTTTTCGACACAATACCTTGTTATTCATAAAATTGCGTTTATGCGCGGGTTTTCCAGTTACATTTTTTTTAAATAAAAACCATTCCTTTTTCGCTTGTAGTTTACTTTTGATCTACATGCATAGATACGCAGACGCGCGCAGCCCGACTGTATTTTCCCAGCGGGCGCACACACAGGCGGATAGACGGATTAAAACAAGACAAACGTGGGTTATTTTACTATTACTTTCACGTTTGTCTATTCGTTTTGGTATTCAGCTACAGTATTTGGTATAACTGTTCGATCTGCTTGCCGAACATATATGTTTCTGTCACTCAAAGGCATATATTTACTATGTTTGCGAACGTCAATAAATGCATATCTCCCGTTGTAAACTGAAGCGTTTCCGTCCTCGTCGACACTGACCACCGTATGTTCAGCAGGCCTGGCCGCAGTCGCTTTAACTTTGGTTATCTGCTTGTGAAATAAACTGACGGTTCTGCATTTGTTCTAATAAAGAAAAAAAAAAGATTTCACACCCTGACTGTATAACGTATAAAAGACAGCGGATACTGTTATTACTTGGATATGTGGTGCATTTTTTGGTGAATTTATTTGGTCTAGCTCTTCTATAGCTCTCTTCCTTGTTCTAGCAGCTACAGGCTACACATTCATTTAGTCACTAAACGTGGTTAAAACCGTCTGCTTATTTTTGCTCATTGAAATTAAAAATCTATAGAAAAATAAGGCAACTCAACGTGTCCGCCGGATTCGCCCCTCCTCCCACGCACCTTGTCACACACCAGTAATTAAAACGCAATCAATCGATACATGACTAAATAAGGCAAACAAATAAATAAAGCACGAAAACATCAGGGGGAAAAGAGCTCGTTACGTCGCTGGTTTTTAAGATCACTTGCCTATATTTCCGTCCATCCGCCTGCGTGTTTTGGTCTGCCTGCCTATTCCCGTTATTTGGGAACCCCAATAGCTCATTCGTGCACGCTCACCTCCCCTACGCTCGCGCGCTCTGAATCCACCACGCTGTCCGCAACATTGAAGCTCGAGCGGAGCCGTTACAACTCTCACATCCCCCCCCACTCTCACTAAAATCACAGTCAACTACAAACATCTCTTTCCAGCAACACTTATTGATCTAATGTAGATTATAAGGGTATAAACATCACGACACTCTTTAATATAGCGAGATACTTCATACAAAAAAAGAAAGGCACTCCCTCAGTGACCATGTTTACATGCATACCATTTTCAGATTAAGTTTCATTTGCTGGTAATATTTTTATTTATTATTATTTTTTTTAATTTGTCAATCATGTTCATGTCATTCATTTATGCTTTTCTTTGTCCTCTGTTATTGACTTTAATTGTATTGAAAAATACCCAGCCAAGGTATTATTTTTAATACCTTCCTTTGTGCTCCCGAAAAGAAAGAAAATCATATTTGGAACAACATCATAGTGAGTAAATTATGTGAACTATCATTTTAGTTAACTCATTAACTACCTTTCATGTGCTTAATAAACAAGTGCACAATAAAAGGCAAATATTGGCCATGCTGTTTTTTTTTTTAATCATAATGCCTTGATAGTAGGTAAAAATTGAATCTAATTCTAAAATGCGTTTCTTCAATGTATTTAATATTACCCAGATTTTTGTAACTTTTATCCTTTTGTTTGGACTTTTTGGATATTCCAAATGAGGTGTTCACGTTTACCAACAGTCTGATTAATAAAACCACATGTGAGATGTGCTTAACTGTAGTGCTGGCTTAATCTGCTCATTACTGACATAATTGAAAATCAACCAAATTTTGATTAATATCAGATTATGCAGAAATGCATAGAAATGTAGAGTGTAAATGTTCTTGGACACACCTGAGAATCTCTTAATAAGTCACACAGGCTGTTGCGTTTTTATTCGTCAATAAACATTTTACCAATATGATGTGAAGAACAACAGCAGAAACAAAACGGGCTGATCTCAAGAGAGCTGGGGTGAAACACATTGTTTCCCAAATCTGTCCGGGCCCCAAACAGAACATATTCAAGATGTCTTCAAATCAAGCACCTGACCATCAGCTCATCAGTAAAATACTAAAACACTATTATATTTGTATTTGTCAATAAACATTGTTTACCAATATGATGTGCAGAACAACAGCAGAAGCAAAACAGGCTGATCTCAAGAGAGTTACACACAGTTTCCCAATTCTGCTCCTGGAGCACACCAACAGGACACATTCAGGATGTCTCCCAAATCAAACACCTAATTATACCCATCAGCTGATCAGTATAATACTGAAAGGCCTGAAAAGGGTGTGCCAGATGAGCGAGACATCCAGAATGTGTACAATTGGGGGGGCCCTTCAAGAACAGGGTTGGGAAACACTGCTCGGAAATCTCGTTGTGCCAGCAAAACCTCCCGGGGGCCTTAATCAGCGAGTGCTCGTTGCTCCTCTCTCCTACCGCCAATTCATCACGCCCTGTCAATTACAAACCATGCTGCGGCACACTTACACACAAGATTATTGTCAATATAGATTTTTAAATAGAAAAATCTATACGCTAAACACTCCAATCGATAGGAGTAAATCGATTCCACTAGGCAGCAAAACTGTCGGTGAGCTCAGGCTCAGAAGTCTTGGCAATGACCGAGATGTGAAGAGATGTTGCTAATACAAGTCATTTCAAAATCTACTTCTATGCAGCCACAAATAATGATGTGTCATTTTATAATAGTAATAAAAATAATATGATTATGTCTCTTGTTGTAGTTGTTTGTTGTGTTAAATTTTGGGGGGTCTTTCCATCTGCAACAAAACGTGTTTCCTCCTTATTTTGTTCACCTTTCATTGTCCCTGTCCTTCTCATGCATCTCGCTATTGACAGATGACATCCGCAGGTCAAGTGAAAGAGATGAAAAGCAGTGACCGGTTGTCCCTCTCGTACCCCCTCGACGTGCTGAGGTAACGGGGCGCTCGGGCCCCTCCCTCCAGTACTCCTTTCAGACAAAAGCAATTATTTCTTGTAGAATATAGTGTGGTTGTGCGCATCTAAGAGAAGGAGAGAGGGACTGGAGGGAAAGAGAGAGTGCTAAATTGAGGGAGAGGAAAATAAGATGGTGTTGGAAGGATAGGGAGCTAACACCTCCTTCCTAGCTGTGCTCTCCGCACATACCTAGCCATTGTTCCTGTTTATGTTGACTTCCTGGAGTAATACACTCTTAAAAATAAAGGTTCCATGAAGAAGCTTTAACATCCAGGGAAAAGGGTCTTTGGATTAAAAATTTTATTTCAAACTAAGAAAAAAAAAAGGTTATCTTAAGACTTGTTCACTGTAAGTTTCTTTGGGGAAACCCAAAAACAGTTCTTTTCTCCCATTTTCACCCTTATTTCACACCCTTATGTCGTTTCAAACCTGTATGACTTTTTTCTTCTTTTGCCCAAACTCAATGGGGTTCAGTGTTGTAGTTAACTTTTACTTTATGGACAAAAAGCATATTTTTCAAATAATTTTACCGGAATTTAGGGTAATTACTGTGAAGGGGCTAAAGATGATGATTTTCTTTTTTGGGTGAATATTTTTTAATATAACACAATTACAACTTCTACATAGCAATCCAATTATCATATGCATCTTGAACAAAAGAAAAACTCTTTAGAAGCATATACTCTTAAAAATAAAGGTTCTTTTTTGTTTTTTGCAGAAATGCAATAAACGAACCATTTTTGGTTCACCTAAGGAATCTTTCAGTGAACAGCTCTTTAAATAGCCATTTTACATAGTTTGAAGAACATTTGAAATATCTAAAGAACCTTTTTCCACTATAAATAAGCCTTTGTGCAGTGGAAAGTTTCCATTGATGTTAAAGCTTCCTCATGGAACTACAGATGCCAATAAAGAACCCTTTTTTCCCCAGAGGATAGCAGCTTGTGATTTTTCCACACAGTGCTGAAAACTGACAAAACGGTTGCCTGTCATTTTGCTTATTGCTTCAACTCATATTAATTATTCAGATGAGATCACAAGAATCCTTAAAACACAGTTTGCTGTTAGCAGTTGCCTGTCTAACAGAGAGAGGTGACAGTTTTAGTGTGGAGATCTTCAAATGACTCCACATGAGCGAGGAATGAAACGCATGCATGATTAATGCCGCTGTGTTTGTTATTGATGATTAAACTGTCACGTCTTGACAACCGCAGAAATATTCCATGCTTATGTGCACAGGAAATAATAAATTCTCTAGGCTATAACACACATTATTCAGACAGAGACATATAGCAGAGTGGAAAGTATGATTAATATAATGGAGCAAAAGAGCAGGCTGTGAGAATGTATGTAGGAATGAAGAAGCACAGAATAAGCAGTTTTATATGTGTGTTTGTGATGGCTGCTGCTAAACAATGATGCCACGTTGACAGATGAGCAAGTCAGATTAGATTCTCTTTCATCAACAATATGGTAGTCTAATCAATAATATCTCACTGCTACATCCAGCAACACATTGCGTTTCTTTCATCTCGCTCTTTCTTTCATTCAGTCATGCGTACAGACACATTCAAAGAGCTCAGAAACCGTCGCTGCCTTAATTAAAAGATTCTATGTGACACATTTCGCCACAAACATAGAATATTACATAATTATCTAATATAGTTTCACATTTCTTCCACCAATTGTAGTGTTAGTAAAAGTGAACATGCGCATTTATGTCTTGTACATACAAACAGATGGACAGTCTTCCACACACACACATATTTTTTTATTTTATTTTAGAGCAGAAAAGCAGATCCATCTAAAGCCTCTGTTCCTTCCTCACTCGTTGTCTCTTTTATTAGTTTTTATGAACTCCCTCTCCCCTTTTCTCCTTCTCTGTCTCTGTCAGTACTCTCAATAATCAATGCTGATATATTGCCAATATCCCAGCCGGTCCCCGGTGCCATCCCTCACTGCTCCTCCTTTATTGTGGGAGATTGGTCCAAAAATAATGATATTTATTAGATATATTTATTATCCTCAGCAGTGCTGCAGTGCTCATGTGCGAGCGTGTTACCGCAATATACTCCTTCGACGACTTGTGATTCTACAAGAAAAGATTTCGCAACAGCCGCTTGAAGGAAATGTTAGAACACTGATCAGGACTGGGGCCCTAAATTTGATTTCCTCATTTCTTTTTACTTTTGACTGCATCACTTTTATGTTTTTCAGCGGATATATAATTTAGGGGTGCTTTAGCTCCTGTGCCGTACAGAGAGATTTACTGAGGAGAGCTACAGCCTCATGGCTAAGTCCTGAGGCAGCCCCCCATGAACCCCCCCCAGACCCAAGGCCTCCAGACGTTAATCTACACCTCC